CCCGTATTCAAGGGTAGGGGTGGGTTGGGTTTAAAACCCACGTCTAATTTCCTATTATTTCTTGTTATATAAAAGCAATAAATAAGTAAAGAACATAAATAAACAACAAAATTTCCAATTATTTGATTAAAATGTAAAAGAATATATAAACTACCAATTATCCTTTACATTTAATTCAAAATATTATTAAATTCATCACTTAGTACATAAAGTTTATATGCTTTCCAACAATATGCAGGTTGAGGGGGTTGGGTTTAGCCTAATATTGTACCTACCCGTAATGTACGGGTTGTAGAATCTCAAAACTCGATTTGACCCAAAACCCATCATTCAAACAAAAAAACCTACCTCATCGAGATGGGTAGGGGTGGATACCCATTGGGTAAAGTAGAAATTGTCATCCCTAATCCCAAGATGCTTAGTTAAGGTTGAGTTGGGCCTAAGTCGGTAAACTTAGACTTAAAACCTTGAATTGGATTAAGTTCGAGCTTGAGGTTCAAGACTTATGATTGGGTTGACCCTCAACTTGACCCAACTCACTCAAGTTGCACCTACTAGGAACTCATGTGATGTATAGGCTTTGTTAAACGAAACCTTAACAATAAAAGCACATATGAGTAGACAATTTTTTTTATAGTTTAACCTTTTAAATAATTAATAATTAGTTATATTTTATATACTACTTTTAATATGTTTTACAATACAAAAAATAACAATAATTAATTTCAGCTAGGTTGTTCATCAAACTGGTGAAACCAACCAATATGATCCAACTCGACTCGAATTGGTCAGTTTTTCTATTATTTTTGGTGGGTTTTGGTTCACTAATTTCCCCACCTAACCAGATCGAGTAAATTTTGGTTTGACCATTTATAAATCAACAAAAACCAAACTGACTTGACCATTTTATATATATATATATATATATATATATATATATATATATTTTTATATTGTAAATTAAAAAAAATAATTTATTTTATAATAATACCACTATAATTTTTAAATTTAAATTTTTAAGTTTATATCTTTTGAACCAACCAACCAAATCGAAAATTGACACAAACCAATATAACCCAAGTTGGTTGGTTTCAAGTGACCAACTCCCCAACCTACAACTAAATCGAACCAACCCGTGAACACTCCTAATTTTAGCTAAACTAATAGTTTAATCGCCAATAATTATTGATTTTTTTTATTAAATAACAAAATAAAAATAGATTTATACATAATTATTGAAAATATATTTATCACAAAAACAACAAATAATTATTAAAAATACAATAAATATAAATGTAGAATAATATTTTTAAATTATTATTAATTGATATAGAAATTATCATTATATTTTTTAATATCTATTAAAAAACATTTTTTCTGGAAGTTATTACCTATTTTTGTTATTTGAAAGCTCCAATACCTCTAAATTATTTAATCTATTTTTCCATTATTTCAACGATATTTAAAAAAATATTACTAAATAATGTTTAAAATATGATTTAGTTATTAATTTTTTTAATGTTTAAAATATTTAATATTAGTTACTTACAATATTATTTATCTATTTAAATAATATCATTAGTTAGTTATTTCAATATTACTTATCTATTGAATTTCATAATCCATAAAATTACAAGTTATACACTTATACTATTATTACATAATTTCGTTATTAATTTTGTAAAATATAAAATTATTATTAATTCAAATATTATGAAATCTATTATGATGATTTTCTACTTTTAATAAAATTTGTAAGTTTATTACATATTTTCATTATTTTAACTATTTAAAATTTAATTATGTTAAATATTTCGTTATTTAAAATACTTAGTTATTGAAATATTTAAATAAAATGTAAAATATTTAATTTTTCATAATTTAAGCTTTATTTATTTTAAAGCTATTACATGATATGAAATATTTTGTTATGTAATATTTAACTATTTTTAATATTTTGTTACTTATAATATTTAGTTATTTAAAATTTTAAATAATATTTAAAATTTAAAATTTTTATTATTTGATTAATATTTAAATTGAATAATTCATAAAATTATAATTTATATTGTTAGTACATAATTTCGTTATGAATTTCATAAAAGTATAAAATTATTAATAATATGAATATTATTAAATCTATGATAATTTTTTGTGTTTTTAATAAATATTTAAGTTATTACTTAATTTCATTATAATATTTAAACAATTGTTAAGTTTTTAAATCAAACTTTTCTTTTGATAGATATAGATGAGAAGTGGGGTAGGATAAATAGGAATTAGAGATAATTTAGGAGAGAAACTCTCTACTAAATTAGAAATAATTTAGGAGATAATTAACAGTTATATATAATTTAGGAGATAAATAAGAATTATAGATACTTTAAGAGAAAATGGGGGATAATGGTGCTACTTGGCTATATTAGATTATATTTTGGGGGAGAGAGATTTTAGGAATAATTTTAGGAAGGGATATCCAAAGGGATAAACATAGAGGAAAGAGGGCTAGGTAGGGCATGCTGAGATGTCCAAATGAGAGAGGGAGAAGGAAGTGATGAGGTGGCTTCATGAGGGAGAGGAAGGCTAAAATGAGGAAGGTCTGAATAGGGCTGTCAATGGGTTGGTTTTGGGTCAGAACTAGGTAGAATCGGTCCTAGAACCAATAGGAGAACTCATGGACCCGAAATCGACCTAGACCCCATAGGGTATGTAATTATTGACCTAGAACCGAACCAATTGGTTATTGGGACAATCAAGTCCAACCCGATAGGCCCGATTTCGATATGTATGCTAGTAACACCCTTGATAAAAAATGTAATAAAACACCTATAAAAACCCAAAATACAATGAAAATTGCTGAAAAAAAAACTGCTGAAAAGGAAAATGTTAAAAAACAATAATAACTGTATTGATATATGTATATATAGATCCGGTTTCGATTCCGGTTCCGACTTGATAGCAATCGATGATTTTTTTAAGAATGGGAATCGACCCATCAGGACAAGTTCTAGAACTAGAACTGCCCCATTGGTCCGGTTCCGTCGAGTTTATCAGGTCTGACCTGACCCATTAACAATCCTAAGGTAAGTCTCTTAAAATATCCCTAGTATTTGTAAAATTGACTAATTGTACCGTTATCGTTTAAATATTAACAAAGGACTGAAATGTCTGTTTTACCCTTAAATCAAACTTGAAGCCTTGATTCTTGTGATCACGGGAGAGTCTCCTCGTTCGTGGCTACACAGGCGTGTCAAGGGCATTGACAAGGAGAGCCTAAACTCGGTTTTCCATTAGAGTCGAAGTCGAATAACATGCTTTCCTTGGCAATGTCAATTGACATCCACCAAATCCATGGATGCAACCTGCAACTGTGAGGGTATCTGTTGTGGCCATCGTAGATGGGTTTGAGTAGACCGCTCGCATAGAGCTTCAGGCACACTACCAGAACCAGAATACCACCAACAGCTTTCTGGCGTTCTCCGGCATTGCTCTAGCCTCATCTTCATCCCCTTTCGATGGCCATGGTAACTCCGCCTCCGCCGTCAAGAGAGGAGTTACCATCGGCGAGCGACGCAAGGTCCTCTCTCGAAATTGAATGTTCTCATGTTATGTTTCTTGTTTTAAGAAATTACACTTTACAGGTTCATAGCTTGGAGACGTTACTGTTGCAAGCCCTGAATCAATACTCCATGAATTTGGGGACCTAAAGTCGTAAACTGAGCCAAATGTTGAGTCAGAAGCTGGTGCCCACCCAGGAGCCTAATCCCATCAAGCGGTACTACCGAAAGGCAACATACTTCCTAGAGGACAACTGGAAGCGGGGTGTGAGTGCTGGCGCTTTGGATTTCCATCTATGCCGGCCTCTTCACATGGAAGCTCACCCGCCGTCGAGAGAGGAGTAACCATATTCGAGAACGAAGGGGAAGAAGGAGAGAGAGAAGGTGGAGGGGGCTTCAGCTAAGCTCTGGCCTTTGTAACAGTAACTGCGACTCTCTCTCTCACTACATTGGATGTGGACAAAAGAAATCACGTTAGCTTAAGCTTGCAGATGCTGGAGACGGAAACTGCGGGTTCCGACGTCAGAGAACGCCAGTTAATTGTTGTAGCGGAACAATTATACCACCGACAGCCGTGAAAGAGTGGTTCGCTGTAGCAGCCGCGGGGAGATGGATGGTGAAGAAGAAGGGAGTGGGATGAACGGTAAAGTTGAATTTTAAAAAAATTTAAGGAGAAGTAGGGATACACACGATGCAGAATTCTGAATTCCAGCCCCCCTTACGGCTACGTCTCCCCCTATAAACCACATACTGTTCGTGAATTTGGCATCAATTCACGGTCAGGCCCCCTATATTTTGAGGTTATAAAATTTTAATCTGAACTGATTGGTCGTTTCCAAAAAATTATACATCACGTGGTATTAGAGATGTATATGAATTTCGACTGAACATTAATTAATATGACGTATGTATGAATTTCGACGGAATATTAATTAATATTAACAATAAGCTAGTCAATTGTCAAAAACAAATAATGTAAAACAGTAATTAAACAATTTTTCAATTTAGAAAGCCCTAATTCGTTTTTGTGTAACGCCGTATAATGGAATGATAATTATACCTGATTCCCTGAAAAGTTCCCAACTTTGTGTCACGCCGACACCGTTCGCTGTTTATAGATGCGCATTGTGCAAGCCTCCCTGACACGCGCTTATCAGAACTTCTCTATCTGACTATCTCCGCTCTGCGGAAGTCGGGTGTCGGGAGATGAATTATAGTTAACATAAATAGACAATAGTTAGCATAAATAGGAAATTATAAAAAATCGGTTTTGATGCTCACAATACTGTTCTCACATTACTTTTCAGCCGTGTATCGTGAACATCTCTGTCCATGAATAAAAAAATAAGTACGAAATTGTTTTCAATGCACGGTTGAAAATGGGTGTGAGCACAAATTTGTCAGCAATGAATCCGTGCTCATTTTTATAGTTGATAACTTGATATATATAGAGAGATTAGAGAGGAGGCAATTTTATACTACCAGGACTCTATTTTAAGTCCTACCAGGACTTAAAGTCTCCGTCCGCCTCCCTCCTTGTCTCGTGAGATGAGAGAGAGGGAGAGAGCAGGAAATATATGTTCATCATAGATCTAGATCTGGCTGCGAGGAACTCCAGATCTTGAATGCTCTTTGATTCTTGGGTTCAGGTACCTTCAAACTAATAAGTACGTTCCAATCTTCGACTTTCTTCTTCTCATTTGGTCGATCCATGCTATGCTGCTTCAGTTATTTTTTCTATCCTCTTTGTTTCTTCTGGTTTAAAGCTGAGAACTGGTTAAGTATGTTGTCTTTTGATTCCTTGCTCAAAGTTTCGTTAGGTTGCTTAGGTTTTGTTTATGTCGAATACTTCTCTTACACTTTTGGATGAAATATGTTCCCCCCTACCTTTGGATTGGATTTATTACTAAAATCATGTATTTTTTTGCAGTGGCGATGGCATTATAAGTATGTATTGACAGATTTTCATTTATGTTCGATGTTAATTTCCCTGGAAATTATACTGATACTGGGTTGGCTTTATTTGTTTACGCTCTCTTTTATGAACTTTGATGTGGTTTAGGTATGCTTAAATTGGCTTTGTAATTAATATCCAGCTGAGAGCTGACGTTATAGCTGGAGCAATTGAATCTTGTCAACTTATAAAGAAAATGCCCTTATTGTCATAAACTGTCTCATATTTCGATATCCTGTGCTCCAATTGCAATTCTGTACTTTTCTATTTATCTCTCTGAAATTTATATTGCAATTCCTCATTTATTCTGTATAATTTGTTTTTGAAAAATTAGAAAGATACCGTGACGTGTTGTTTTTTATTGATGGACATAATTACCTTCATATATATTTATTTATTTATGTTTTCATATAGTTTGGTTTCTAATACGTCCTGCTTGAGATCTCTGTAAAGTTTCGAATGTCTTGATGTGTTTAATTGGCTTAACAAAGTTGATATTAGTGATGCTTATTGCCTTTTACGTTTTCTTCACTTCTTCTCAGCAGAAAGTCTTGTAGCTGATCTCTTTTTTAAACAGCCATGTCAAGGAGGCCTGTGAACCTCTCTAGACGTGTTGCAGACAATGGCAGTGTTCCATTTGTAAACTCATTGCATCAGAAATCACGTTCTTCACCATTGTTATCAGTTGGGCTGGTTGTTGTGGTATTTCTCATTTTCATTAGTAAAAAATTTCTTTAACATCTTTGTGGCATAAAATAAAAATTGATAACAACCACACTTTATCGGTTTGCTTTTGTTGACAATCCTCATCAGTCATCAACACTGGATAGAATTCACATTTTAAATAAACCTACAAGGTCATATGACTCACATCCTGGTCGTGTTTGTTCAAAATTTCAGGGTGCACTCCTTCTAATTGGCTATTCTTATAATTCAGGTTTGTATTCTTCCTGCAATGTGCATCTCGTTCAAAAGTTTTATATGCTAGATATTTTGCTACTTACTTTCAATGTTATATTATTTATTAATAAATTAATTATTTCTCATGTGCATTTGATGAGCTTGAAGTTTTTTCATTCTAGGTGGATTTGGCAGTGATAGGGAAGCTGTTAGTAAGGTGGAAGGTAATCTTCCTTACCTTTTTTTGGTTGTGGATATTCTTGTTTTCCGCAAAACTGCAGGTCCTTTATTTGATAACTGATATTGATTTATTTCACTGAGAGATTGATAGTGGTTGGTAACAAGCATAATGACTTTTTCTGATAGGGTTGGTGACTGCAGACAGATCTTTTTCTTTTCTCCAAATAACCATAAAGGCCTTTTATTTAAGCTGTTTGAAAAATCTTTTGCTAGATGTGCACTAATAATTTGACAATTCTTTTCTCATGCTATTAGCAAATTCTTTAGTAACCACTAGGAGGTGGTTACTAAATCTTCCGCGAAGGTAATAGAATCCTTTTCATTTTGAACTTACAAAAAAAAAAAAAAAATCTTTGCCTTTCTTTCATGTGGTTGTTTTTCTCACCACAGTTGATTATTTTGGAAAAAGTTCTTATACATGCAAATATCCTCAAAGATTCCATTCCTTTTTGACTCTCTAACAAGGGGAGGAGTAACAAGGGAAAAGCTGGAATGGGGGCCACCAGGCCTGGGGGTGAACATGCAAAACTATGATGTATTTGTTGTGTTCTCTTGAATGTTAGCCTTTGATTGCTTGTACTGGTTTCCCCTCAGTCTAAACTCTTTGGAATATAGTGTTTTTTCTTTCCTATGCTATATATATATATATTATTAAGCTCTTGATCATTGTTATTGATAAAAGACATGATTCCATTTTTCACTTACGATGCTTATTCACCATATTTTTGAGTTTTGGCATCCAATTTGATCCTGTTCAAAATCAGGAAATTTGAAACCTTTTGAAAATTGCTTAGAAATACTAGAAATTCTGAGCATGGCTCAGTCAAAATTTTCAAATATTAATTCAAATGCTGTTCTAAATAGAAGTTCAAGTTTGAAATTGTTGAAATTACAGTTAGATTTAAAAGCTAGCTGCCACCTCTTCCTCCAGCTTGCCTTTGCTCATTATTAAGGTTTTTATTCATCTTTCGGCATTTCAGTGGAACATATACTTAAAGCAAAAAAAAAAAAGCCAATCACACCTTAAGAACACAAATAGAGTAGGGGGGAGCCTCCATGTTACTACATGGCATGGTTAATGAGCAAAACAACAAACTGATAATCAAGAGATACGGCAGCTAATCCACATTTGCAATAATGATGAGAAAGTTTATGCACAATCAACACAAATGACTAATATTGGTTTGCTGCCTTGCACTTCTTAACAATGTTCTATTTCTATTTGTTCTTTCTACAATGTGGATTTCCCTTCTTACTCAGTTCATATTCTATCATATATTTTCTTTGTGCAACTTAAAGTAGACCCTCCATAACTGGTTGGCTTGCTTTCTTTCCTTTCACCATTCAACACTATAGACTGTCAAAGGGTGTTTCACCAATGAAGAGTTTTTTTCCTAGTGTTTGAATTTACGAAAGAGTTGAATAATTTATTAGATGCACTATTGTGTGCTTAAACAGTGGGAACGCAATCTTTTCAAGAAGAAGAAAAGCCTTCTTAATTCAGTATATAAAGCTTGGAATGTGGAATACTGTAATACTAATATCTAGATTTAGTTCATATGAACTCTTTCATCTGGTAACAAAAAGAAAGTTTTCAATCTCATAGTGTGTGAACAAAGATGCAGGCATGCTTTACAATGTTCCCCTTATTGTGTTAGTTGGTTTAATTTTGTGATTTTATCAGCATTAATATCTTAACATATGCCTTAGTATCAAAAGCAAAGAAAGAAAAAAAATCTTATAATATGTCTTACCATAAAGAAAGATCTTAACATATGTCAAAATATGCAGGTGACTATACATGCACATCAGAAGTTCAGAGAGCCATACCTATTCTAAGTAAAGCATATGGTGACAGCATGCATAAAGTTTTGCATGTAGGCCCTGACACTTGTTCAGTAGTCTCTAAATTGTTAAAAGAAGAGGATACTGAAGCCTGGGGTGTGGAACCATATGACCTAGAGGATGCTGATGGTGCCTGCAAAAGTTTTGTGCAAAAGGGCATAGTACGTGTGGCTGATATCAAGTTTGCCCTTCCCTACCGGGCAAAATCTTTTTCTCTTGTTATTGTATCAGATGCTCTGGATTACTTGTCTCCAAAGTACCTTAATAAAACACTTCCAGACCTGGCAAGGGTAGCCATGGATGGCCTCATTGTTTTTGCTGGTAATTTTCTCTTTACATTTTTGTTTTACCATATACTGGAAAAAGTTGGAATGTATGTTTCTTGCATTGGAATTTTGGAATAAACTTCTATAACTGATTAGTGATAAGTAAGTGCAAGGTCAGAGATTCTTTCATTACTTCAGGGGTTCAAATTATCCTAAAGGGCAGATAACCCACATACACTAAAACACCTGATTAGAGCAGCAAGAACATTGGTGTCCACATTGAATTGCTTGTTTACATGGTCCTGAAGGTCTGCCAATGGACTTGACTCTTTAGCAAGGGCAGGGATAATAAAGCATGCTACTTCGCTGCTCTTGTAGTGGGTGTGTATAAGTGAGATGAAAGGCAAGGTGCTTCCTCTTTGATCTTATCATCAACTGAACAAAATGTAGATACTGATATGAACATATTCTCTCCAGCTGAGAAGAGGGGAAAAAGAAAGGAAAATAAAGTCCTAGTTTTGTGAATAAAATCTGTTATCAATAATAAGAGAATAGCATGTGGAAAGCTGAATGCCTACTGCAATATAACATGAAAATTCTATCCATCCATGAGTCTATACACCACTTGTTTTTGGGATCCTCCAAATGGGTCCTTATTCTTTGCTAATGGCAATCATTTTTACTGATTCATTACCATTCTTTTTTTCATTTGTAGGTTATCCAGGCCAACAGAGAGCTAAAGGTACAGAGCTATCCAAATTTGGAAGGCCAGTAAGTGTCAAATGCTTCTCTGTAGGGTTTCATTTTGTAATTTGGTTGTTTCTGTTATTTTCGGAGTAGAGTCCTAAATATATGGATGTATCATTTGTATGATAATAGAATTCTATATCTTTACTCTACAAATAGGGGTGCAACTTGGGCAGGCTCTTGTTGTGGATTTGTTAAAATCTGAATGGGCCCAGTCTGAGGGCCTTGGCCCTGATGCTATGTAAATTCTTCAAATCGGGTACCTGACTTTGCACCCCTATCTACCAGTGGGTTATGTCTTGTCAGTTTGTTTGCATGACTATGTTGCTTTTACTGAATCCCATGGTGTCAGATCATGGGTCTCTTTCAATAAGGTTACAATTTGTTAGGCTATAATGGTTGTGCAAGAGTTTTATTAATCAACAATTTAAGTAGATTCACAAACATTAATATAGTTACCTTGCGACAAAACCTTCTAGTTTCTTTACATTTGACTTCTGGCATCTTTTGCAAAATTGAATCAGGGTAATATGAAGTTTTAAGGTTAATTCTGAAAAAAATGTTAACTAGTCCAATCTTCTAAGCCAAATACTTTGAATTGTGTTGGTCATAATTATTATCATTGAATTAATTTATTTTACCTTTTAAAAAGTCAGCATTGGTTTGGCATATTAGACTTTATAGCAAATTTTTTTTTGATCAATAATTGGATTTCATTAGATTAAAAGAATTTAGTTACAACGCTCAAAACAGAGATAAACATGCTTAACTCTCTCCAGGAAGATAACGAAAAAGAAAAAGTTCCAGAACAGCCCAAAACATTTGATCCCTTCCCACCCCTTGCTTTGCCAAAGCATCAGCAAATGCATTTGCTGTTCTCTTGACCCATTGAAACTTGATTTACAGTCCTCTTGTTAGCTAATTAATCTCCCTCCTCTCATTAGCATATTTCCAAAGTCCACTACCATCTTGTAACCAATTTAAGACCAGCTTTGAGTCCCTTTCAATGACTAACTTTTGTATATTCAGTTCCTTAGACTTCCTTATACCCTCTAGTACTGCATAGACCTCAGCTTTGAGAGAGTCTCCAAACTCAATGGGACCTGAATACAAAGTGAGCACCTTCCCATCCTCATCTCTGAAAACCCCTCCTACACCTGATGGACTTGGATTTCCCTCACTATTCCATCAAAGTTTAGCTTTATAAGTCCACTTCCTGGTGGTGACCACACAGGACAAACTAAAGAGTGGGCAGGAGCAGAATTTGACACCTCCAGCCAGCTACTCAGCAACATATTTGCAGAAATATCAACAAACAGGTTCAAGGATTTCAGCCAATGTACCACCCTCACTGTTACTACTTCAATAAGGCATTCTTTACTTTCAACTTTAGAGAAAATTCTAGTGTTCCTTTCCTCCCAAAGAGTCCAGCAAACAGTAGCCCTCACACATCTCCACGTTATCCTTCCCCTTTTGTTTTGCCAACCAAAGAACGAGGGGCTAAACAAACTCTGAATGTTTGGCGGTGATGTCCACCTGAAACCAAAAGAGGAAAGAAACTATTCCCAAAGATCAGTAGCAAAGGGGCAAGAAACTAAAAAGGCCTTTTTCTTTGGAGTATGTGACAAGTATTACATCTTTCGAGGAAGGCTTCTCAACAAAAGGCTCCAATCCTTGGAGGAATCGGCTCACCCCAAACATCCTTAACTGGAAAGTTTTGTGCAAATGGATTGGATGAAGGCAGTAGCGACTTGAAGAAAGAGGCACAAGATAAGGTTCCGGAGGGAGTTAGGGTCCATAGTCTCTTATCCCTTTCAAAGGGATCCAACACCACCCAGTCTAAGATCTGAACCAGACTCATGACATTTTCAACCTCTACATCCCTTAAGCCTCTTCTAAGCTTCGAATCCTAATCAAACCCAAAATTAGACTGAGAAGGAACTAGAAAATTGGACACAATCTTGCCCTTAAACCGAGAGAGTGAAAACAAGGAAGGGAATTGGTCTTTCAAAGGTATATCACCCACCCAAATGTGCTCCCAGAACTTTACTTGATTCCTAGAGTAGAGGTCATACCTGATGTGCTGCCAAAAGGAAGGAAGAATGACATGCATAGATTTTCCAAGGAGAGGCACCAATAGACCTTGCCAAAGTCCTAGTGTCCCAACCATCATCTGCCTGACCATGAGTACTTAAAATGACCCTTGTCCACAGTTTATCCCTTTCATCTCCCAACCTGCACAGCTATTTCCCCAACAAGGCTTCATTTTTCCTTTGAATGTTACCTAAACCTAATCTTCCATCAGCCCTACTCCTAGAGACTAGTTCCCAATTCACCCTGTGATCCTTCCTCTCCTCCCTTGGTTCTCACAAGAAGTCTCTCATCAAAAACTCCTACTTATCTTCACTGGGATCCTAAAAACTGATAAGTTATACACAGGCAAACTAGCTAGTGTAAACTTAATCAAAGTAATTCTACCACCCAAAGATAAATAATTCTTCTTCCAAGAGGCCAACTTAGCAAATCTATCAATTACGGGGCTCCAAAAGCTCTCTTTCCTTGGGTTATCCCCCAAGGGCATCCCCAAATAGTTCAGTGGCCATTGAGACACCGTACAACCCAAAGCTTCAGCCCTCTCCAATATAGCTCTCTCTTCCATATTGATCCCCACCACACAACTCTTATCGAAGTTCACCTTCATATTTGACATTTGTTCAAACACTTGAATCACCAACTTTTTTGGCCATCTCACATCCTCCTCCTCACAAAACAAAATTTTATCATCAACAAATTGTAAGTGGGTGATAGGAATGTTGTATTTTCCAACTCTCCATCCCCTTGCAAGACTTCTCAAATTTGCTTTCTCAATTAGCCTCCGTAACACTTCAACGATCAAGGTGAAAAGAAATGGAGAGAGGGGGTCCCCTTGTCTAATTCCCCTAACATCCGGGAAGTGATCCACTACCTTTCCATTTACCAAGATGGAGTAATGACAAGTCTCTATTACAACCCAAAATCCATTTACACCATTTCTCCCCAAAACCAAAGCAATCCAACACTTGCATAAAAAAAAGACCAATAACCATAACCCCTTTCCTTGTTCTTCGCATATCCTCCACACACTCATTGGCAATTAGAATTTGATCCACAATCTGCCTATTTCCAACAAAGGCCCATTGATTCTGTGAGATTAGCTTCGGAAGAACCTCTCTAATTCTTCTAGACAGAACCTTCACAATGATTTTATACAAACTATTAACCAAATTGATGGGTCTAAAGTCTCTTGGATGACTTGCTCCCACTTTCTTTGGGACCAAAGCAATAAAAGTTGAGTTCGGCCCCGGATTTATCACTCCCCTCTGGGAAAATTCAATAAACACTTAAAGGATATCCTGCTTTAATTTGAAAAAACTACTTCCCTTATTTCCTCCAACTCAAAATTTCTTTCAAGCCACATCTTCTTCTCCTCAAACAATTTAGGCCAAAGCCCTAGCAATCTCATCCTGTTGAGATTTTGACACCCCATCTATCTCCAATTTAGAAATAAGATTTTTCCTTCTTCTACCATTGGCCATTGCGTGAAAAAATTTGGTGTTTCTATCACCTTCTTTCACCCACTTATGTCTAGACTTTTGCCTCCAGCTGACTTCCTTTTTGAATAGGATGTCTTCTAGTTGCTTACTGAGTTTCCATCTTTCTTGTTTGTCCTCTCACTTCGAAATTGCCTCCCCTTTCTTTGGCATCCAACTCCTCAATCTGGTTGAACAGTTCCTGTTTTCTCTCTTCAATCCTTCCAAACTGTAGAATATTCCAATCCTTAATCTTCCTTTTTAACTCCTTCAACTTCCAATGAAATTTCATCCCCTCCCAAATAGCGCATTTGGGTTAGTGTCATTCCACCAATTTTCCACCGACTCAATAAACCCAGGATGAGACAACCACATGTTCTCAAATCTGAAAGGAGTGGGCCCTCTAGTACCAAGATCCTCTCTCATTAAGGTAATAGGCCAATGATCTGATGTTACCCTAGGCAATGCTCTAGAAATAATAGGCCTACAGTGCTCCTCCCAATCTGGTGTGAATAAAAATCTATCCAACTTAGAGCACATAGGGGTTCTCTTGGAGATTGGACCAAGTAAATAGACCATGTAGCAGAGGAACCTCTTTCAACTCAAAACTGTTTATGAAGCTGTTGAACCTTCTTATGCTAGTGCTACTGCCTCTCCTCACCCTATTAGTCTACTTTGTGAATCTAATGACATTGAAATCTCCTCTTAAACACCAAAGGCCTTCCCAAAGTCCTCTAATGTCTCCCAATTCCTCCCAAAGTTCACTTCTTTCTCTATAATCAGTTGGACCATACACATTGGTTGATACTCACTTAAATCCATCTACCCTGTGTCTAAACTTGATAGAAATAGTAAACTTCCCAATCAGCTCCTCCACTCCCTCAAAAACCTCTTCTTTTCACATCGTCACTAAACCTCTTGGCCTTCCCCACGAAGGACAAAAAGCCCAATTGATGCCCCTTACTTTCCACACTGATCTAGCCCATCTCCTATCAAACTTCGTTAGCTTAGACTCCTGAATCTGCACCAAGTCTGGATCCTCTCTTTTTATTACTTCTTTTATTAAAGGCCTTTTCCTAGCTCCCCCTAACCCCTTAACATTCCAACTGAGAATCTTCATCACCACTTTCTAAAAAAACCCTTACCTGTCCTTTTTTCAACTAGTCCCTCTTCTTTTGCCCTTTCTCTCACTGAACTCCTTATATCTTCTTCTACATCTCGCCTTAGCCTTTCTAACTCACTCAACTTCCTCTTCCTTGGTTTACTCTCTACCTTTCATTTTCTCAAAAAATACCTTCAACTCATTTGGATCTTTTATTTTACAGCCCATTTGCTCAACAAATTATGCAACCGAGTCCTCTTTACCAGTTTCATTTTAATCTCCTCCCTCTTACTCATTACTCACCTCTTTCTCTACCCCAACTTCTTGTTTCAGCTTCTTTCCTTTTCATTTCTTCCAGAAAATTTTCAATTAGCTTCCAAAATTTCTCTCCCACCTTCTCTTCTTCCTGTGAAACTATTTTCCCTCCATTATTTACCCCTTTAATAGGATGCGACTGTGACAATATGGCTGCCTGGGAAGTCTAGGACAAAGACAAAGGACAAGGAGTTAGTACCAAAATGGAAAGTCACAACCATACCTTAGGTGGGAGCCAAGACAGGGTTGGTGGAAGAGTGAAAGGTTTCGCTCTCAGCTAAGAGACCAGGACTCTGGGGTAAACCGGATTCCATGGTGGGAACTATAGGTTGGAAAGCGCTTCCTGCCAAAGAATTCTCTTTCGGTGAATTGCTGAGGCTCTGTAGCTTGTCTCTGAGTTGGTCCTCAAAGACTGACTGGCAGTGAACATCTCCTACCAGCTCACCAAAACCTTGCTCTGTCCATCACTTGGTTAGGTTGTTCCCCATTTGATTCCAAAATAACTCCCCTACCGACCAAATCACTCTCAGCAGTTTTTAACTTCTCCAATTCCTTGGACAGCATCAGATCAGATTGTATCTGGCCCTCTTTGTTCTTTATCAAGCACAAAAGTGGTACCAACCACTTCGTTTTCAAGGTCTGCTATTGTATTTAGAATGACTCTCTCACCCGAAAGACTTTATAGCCAAATAGGAACTTGGGTTAGGGTAGCTTACCCAATTATACCTCCCCATTGCTGTTCCTTGCCATGACCGAGTGCTGTTGGTTCAGCATTTATGCTTAATGTTGTTGGGTGCTGGTATTTGAGCCATTTTGAAGTATCCATTTAACATAATTATTCAACATAGGAGCATTTTACATGTTATGGCGGACCCCAATTTACAATTATTTACTCATCAAAAAATATTTACTGAGTATTTATAATCATTTACTTATTCAAAGTAGGAGCCATTTTAGATTGCTGTTCCTTACCATGATTGAGTTCCATGGTTCAGCATTTTTGCTTAATGTTGTTGGGCACTGGTATTGGAGACATTTTGAGGTATCCAAGTAACAAACTATTCAAAGTAGGAGCATTTTACATGTTATAGTGGACCCCGTTTATAATTTTTTACTTGTCAAAATTTGATCAAAAAAATTATTTACTTATCAAAAAATATGTACTAAACATATTTTATATTTTAGCATTCTGTAATGAGTTTATTATAGGCTGTAATACTTCAATCTAGAAAATTTAGGTTGACTTGTATTAAACTTATTTGATTGGGAACAAAATAAATGCTTACATAACATAAAGATAGTGAAGTACTAGCCCCTGATGTGTCATTTCAAGTCCTAATGATTTCCATCATTTGTGTTAGCTGATGCAAGTGTTGTTTGTTGATGCTTGATGATAGTTAGCCATGAGGCCACAAGCCTCATAATCACACATTCGCTCATATCATAATTAGTTTTCAAGATTTATCCTACTCATTGGCTTGCAAGGTTGTTTGGATATTGATCTTTGCTTACTAGGCACTGTTGCTACTTTAGTTACAGTGTAAAAATGTGTATATCCAATATTCGTATTAATTGTCTGAAACATTGACTTCCAAAATCCTTAATGTATGTGAATTCTGAAATCTGATTACAACACACTAAGGTACTGTAGTTGTAATTTTAATGGTTCAGCCTTTGGCTTTACTTGTTAAAGCATACAATTCTTAGTTGAGCCAATGCTCCCTTTGGTATTCATTGAAACCCTGAGATTTCTGATTCTTTATTGGTTCTCATTCTTAATTCTTTATTGGTGGTACGTTAGGAAGTAGATGCACTTAATTGCTTAAACGGGATTTCTGGCTATTTTGGGCTTGGGTTTCACTTCAACGATGGTTTGATCAATTGGACCTCTAACAACAAAAGGTGGCTGTTATGGGGTATTCTGTTGCTCCAGAAAATTTGCTGTTTTGTTTTGAAGGACCCTTGGGTTTGGATGACAAAATAGTAACCTAAATTAGGCTTGGGTTATGATTAAGGATGACAAAATAACATGTATTTCATTGTTGGAATGAGGACTGAATTTTCCTGGAGAAAAATTCAATCTCATTAATGTTGAAAAATGTAGGGAAGTTTAAATTCTGCATAACTTAACTGCCAAATAATTTGAGAGGCTAAGAAGATGAAGTTGTACTTCTGGATTGTTGTTTGATAAACTTCTACAAATTAGATGAAAGGAGAATTTCATAGAATAGTTATAAGATGGCTATATCTTATGGCACATAAAGTCACAATGGGAAATAATACATCCACAAATTCAGTATAGCTCAGTTGAGGGCGTTGAGATTTGACATAGATGAATTGCATGATTAGGGAGGATAGAATTGGAAGTGGATGCATCCTTGGGAAACTAAGGGGAGCTCTGCTAGGTCAGAAGATGAGAAGTTAATTATATGGTTCACTTGTGTGCTTAAGTGCATTTAATACCAATGACTGTCCCTGTAAGAATGAACATCTTGCAAGTTAAAGGCTGGAGAAGAACAGTAAAGACAGATGCTTGTGGATTGTGGTAAAAAATTTAAGGACCTACCGTTTAGCAAAAGATATGTCCATGTACATAATGGAAGGGAGAGTGATAATGATGCTTAGTTGGCTGAGGCGCTGAGCCACATTGAGGATAAGACGTGATTTTGGTATACAATCCCCAATTTGAAAACTAGTCCTGAACTGAAATAACTCAGTGCAATTATAGTTTTCAAGGCGCCAAGGCGATGGTTTTTTTTTTATGTAAAAAAATAGATCCTAGGGTAATTCCCTAGGTACCATAACCATATTTCCTTAATAATTATTTATAATTTTCATAAGAAAATTATAAAACTCATGTTAAAGTATAGAAAATCAACATATTCATGAGAAAAATAAGGAAAAGAAAATTTAAAAAATTTAGGGGCTGAACCCTTATTTTTGTTATAGGAAAAGAAGAGAAGAAAAAGTAGTAGTAGTAGAAGAAAATATGCTGATTAGACAAAATTTTAAGTTCTTCCTTACTTATTGCTGAACCCTTTAGCAATGTTTGTGTTGATTAAAAACAAATAAGAAAATAATAAAAAGAAATTATTATATAAACACACAAAATGAATATTTTAGTTTAATAATGTCTATTTTATATTTATAATCTCAAAAAATAAAGAATAAAAAGAATTTTATAATAGAAAGTACAAAACTGCTTGGCGATTAGGTGAGGGCCGCGAGGCGAGCCTCAAAGGGTGCCTTGTCGCCTAGGTGCCTAGGAGTCGCATTGACAACTATGAGTGCAAATGATTCTACCCCCTTTCTTTGTGGTAAGGAAACATGGATTTCCTTTTTCTTCTTGGTGTTTGGGTCCAATGTCTAATTTATACTTCCTACATGAGTAAGGTCTCTCAATTCTTAAATGGAACCAAGCCACTTATGCTTTTCTAATTTATCTCCACTTTTATTTGCCTGAAGTTGTCTATTTAAAAATGAAGTCAATTTTCGGTGGAAAATTCTCTTGTTGTGTCATCTTGTAAATTGTAATAACATTATTAACTGGTCTTCATGCTAAGGCAAAACTGCGGAGCTCGTCTTGGTGGATACGATATTTTGTTCAGACTGGCTTGGAAGAAAATGAAACTGCTTCCAAGAAGTTCGAGCAGGCAGCTGCCAAGAGGTCATACAAACCAAACTGCCAGGTATTTCACCTCAGTGCATACCGTTGAAATGTCAAATAATGTCTGTATTGTTCTTCGAGATTCTTGAAAGAACTAAAACAAATGCGTCTTCAACCCTCATCTAAGAGAACATCCTCCAGCTGGGTAAGTTAAGATGGATGAATGTCATCAATTCTGGGCATTTCATTATGTATTCCGACCATCATATATATATATATATATATATATATATATATATATTTGTTGATTGAAATTTTCATGGGGAATTAGCATGAATTTGTTTTATCTGAGATGTATTTGTTAAATTAGGTTTTCCTTTCTTCTGTTGTACCTGCAAGGACAGTTTCCCTAGTATAGCCTTGTCAAGTCATCTTTTGGATTTTGACATGATTTAAATTATATTTTAGCAGAAAGGTGAAATTTCAACTGAAGCTAGCAATCATTGTTGTGAGATGTATCTATCTGGCTATTTGAAATTGTTGAGTTGGTATGGGGAGATAATAGCAATATTTAACTATTAAGACAGAAAATAAAGGGCTATTCTATTTTAGCAAATAAAACAGGCATCAGCATAGGGTTGAGAAGCAATATCGTTCATGCTGAATAAACTGTGTTAATAGGGCTGCTACATGGCCACTGGGCTGGGTTAGCCCGAATCCAACCTAAAACCAGCCAGAAAATTGTGTTTGAAGTAGAGATGGCAATTTTTCCTGTCCCCGTTAGATACCCGGTCTCCTTGACCAGATCTGATTGGAATATTGGATATAGGGACTATTTGGTGGTGGGGTCGGGAATGGGGAATAAATCCCTGCCCCACCCCAACCCGACTTAAAATATATATCATTAATTAATCATATTATAATATATAAAATATTATTAATTGTATCATATATTTATGATTATTATTGACTTTACTAAATACTAACACTGTTTTATATTTGTTTTGTAATAATATGAGAACTTTTAGGCTGTGTTTGGTTGCATTGTAATTTTATTTGCACTAATATAAAGGCATGGGAGTGCAAATGAAAAAAAATATAAATTCTCTTTTAATTTTATTTTGGGTTTTACTTTATTTTATTTCATGTCTTAATTTACTTCATTTGTACTGCAACCAAACAAAATAAATTAAAATTTGAAACAAAATAGGTCAGAATTTACACTCAAATCATTTGCACTGTCATAATTTTGTACGAGTGCATTGCAATCAAACACAGCCTTAAGGGTAAATCATAAATGGGTAATAAAGAGCAGTCTTTTTCATTCTCCTTTGTAACAATTGAGACATCACATCAATCAATGTTAGAATTGGGACACTCGTATAAGGAGATTGCATCAACGCCACATGTACATCTCAGCGTATATTAGGAATATCTTCCGTACCTGTCATTGAGAGATGTTCCCGTGAACTCATGTGTAAGGTGCTGTAGTTTCTCTTCTTTACCACAATTGCTTTTACCAAAATAAAGTTTTTGTTGCCATTGTTCATTTCATTGCTCGATCACCCAAGACTGGTTTATCGATCTCAGTGGCTTTTGCAATAAATGAGTTCACAGAGACCGATTCTAAAGTGAAATATAAAACTCTCTCAGTGGAACTTTCCAAAGGTTACAAAGAAAGTCATTCTATTTCTCCATTCTCTTGGTTTACATTTCATCTTCTACCTGAAAAGGGTAAACTTTTCTTCTCTATGTTAATTATAATCCATCTCTAGGGATGGGGATGGAGAGTATAGTCCCTGCTCCGTTGCCATTCCTAGTTTGAAGTAGAGAATGGGTATCTCAATCCTGAAATGATTATTAATTAGGACAAAACCATATAGTTGGAACTGTTCCAACTAATAATTGGGATAATCGGGTCTGACCCAATAGACCCATTATATTGCCGACTATAATTATTTCTATAAATAATAATTAAAATTTAATTTTTGATAATATAATCTTAAGAATGACAGTAAAATAGTAAACTGTTTATATGTTAATAAATAAGGTGTTTTTAACTAAAATTATCTTATATATTACCTATCAAATTTATCATTTTGAAAAAAAAATACAATAAGAATTACAAGAAAACTAGGTTTGGGTCTGAATCAATTCAGAACAAGCAAGAACCAGACCAACCCAATTATTAATCAAGACAATAATCATAGAACTAGAACCAATATAATCAGTTTGGTTTGGTCGGTTAGGTAGGACTGATCCATAGACAACCCTAGTTTAAAGGCAAATGTTTTCTAAAACATCGTAGCTATGTTCTTTTATGCGTGTGATAATGCTAAAGTAGAATTAGCCTAAACCCAGTCCGGATCTATTAGGCACAGCATTGTTAACACGTTCAATGAACACTTAATAAATATTCTGACAACTGTATTAAAAGTTGTTTTTAATCTTTTTCAAGGGTAGGTTGGGGTATTTTAAGGACAGGTGTCAAAATTTTCTAAGTGCTTACTCAATGTGCTCAACCATGTGTGCCTACCTGATCCAGACTTAGACTAAACTTGGATAAGCTGAACTTAACCCAATGTTCTCAGGTTGGGTTAGTATTATAGTTGGGGGTTCAACTGATCAGGCTGGGTTAGGGTTGACCTCAATCCAACCCATGTGAATTGACCTATTGCTATGTGTCTGCCTTTCAATGATCGAAACACTGAAGCATTTAAAAAAAATAAGGGGTAAATTATAGATGGCAACTTGTACTTTGGGGGTAGTGACACTTAGTCCCTCAAACTTTCATTTGTGACAAAGACCCACCCTGAAATTTTATATTCCAGCACTTTGCTTAACAAGCTTATGGTAAAGGAAAAAGTATTAAAATGACCATTTGAAGTTTAGTGGGTTGAGAGAAGAAAATGCAACCTTAGCATTTGATAAATGATCCTAGCATTTTTTGTATTCTTTTGTATTTTTCTCTTTCTCTTTTCCTGCAATTTTCTGTACTTTTATTTTATTTTTGTATTTTCCTGTTTCTTTGTTGTATTTTCTGTAATTTTCTACATTTCCTTTAATTTGTTTTTTGTTGTATTTTGTGTTTTTTTTTTAAAAATTGGTCTCATAAAATGATATAAGGGCATTTTGGCTAAGGTAGAGTTCATGGCATATTTCTCTTAATCATCATTGGCCTAAATGAGAATTTGGGTAGGTTCACATGAGATATCTAAAGGGCAAGCGAACCAAAGTACATCAGGGATCTCTGAATGACCTACTCTATTTCTGGCCTTTGAGAGTCTTGATCTTCTCCCAACGAAAAACCATTCCAACATGTTCCAAGATGAACTGTTTACACATTTATATATGGTGGGTCCCAATCTTATGATGGGTTTGGGTCTTATGGTGAAATGTTTAAGACTGTTTGAGATGTGATCATTCCATAACTTAAGGAGAATTTTTTGTTCGGAGGAGATCCGGACTTAAAATATGCAGACGCAAATCTTGTTGGGAGGAGATCCCAACTCTTATACCACATGGAAGAATGATTTCCAATTCCAACTAATCATTTGGCACGGAACCTTTACATCAACCTAGAATTCCAGAAAGAGGGCTATTATTAAATATTGGACGTGGGAAAGGTTTTTTATGCTGCCGAAAGAAATGTACCATAATAGAGGGTCACCACCTGTGCTAGCGGAATTGGGATCTTCTAATAACAAAAATTGTAATTACAGTTCAACATGGTTCTAACATGACCTGCGAAGTCACATTTCACCATGAGATTATTGGGACCATGCCTGCAATTTGCGGATACAGATCATATTATAATCTATTGGAATTTTTTATTATTTTTGTGAGTAGATCCAGCCCGGAACTAGGGCCCTTTTTAAGCTAAAAATTGTCATATACAAAAGTGGATAAGAACTGAGATTTTCATGATCTATTTGAGCTTGTCTTGTGAAAAGTTAGATTTAGTTTGGTCTAAATTGAGCTTTAAGTCAAGTTCGAGTCTTATATATAGGCTTAATTGTTAATTGATTCAAGCTCAAGCCCAATAAAACTCAGCTCATGAGGCTTATATTTCTATTCTATTATTTTTTACTTTTGCATATTAACAAAAATATACAAATTAAATTCTTATTACCAAAAAATCTTAAATTATTAAATATTTTGTAAATAATAAATATAGTATTATTATTGTAAATCAAAATATTAATTAATAATTTATAGAAATATATAATCTTAACTAATAGAAAAATCCATTAAAATTTCTAAGATGCATACAATATGCAAATTCATAAATTTGAAATGTAAATGGACCACAACTAACGGGGCATAAAAAAGAGAATAAATACATAATTAAAGAGAAGTGAGATTTAATGGATTAATGGACAATTAATAAACAATTTAATATTGAATTTAAAAAAAATATGGTCTATATCGGTCAATATAAGTTTATGCAAACCGATATGAATGGATACACCCTATATATTGGTAAAACCAATTGATATGGACAATAATTATTGGCATGGGATGAATGCTGTTAACGTTGGACCATCTCACCCTACGTGTTTGCCCGCTTGGCTACTGATAAACCTTGTCAAAAAATATAGGAGATGTTTTAAATAATTTAACTAAACAATAATGGGTGAGATTGTCAATTAATGTTCTATTTGGGTCGTTTCTAGGGATGCAATTTGGCCTGGGTTAGCCTGCACTTAACTTGAAAAAATAGGGTTGGGTTGGGTTGAAAAGTACGAACTGACTTAACTTTTGATTGGGTTAAAGTTGAAGCCTTGACCAACCCAATCTAGCCTAACTTCTTATTTGCATATATAAATATTAATGTTCAACTATGATGCTGGAAAGACATGATATCATAAAAACTTATGACCTATCAACCAGCATAAAAAAAGTGTAACCAATCTGGTGGGTTTTTATCAAAATTCATTTGGGGTTTTGATTGATCCAAGCCTTTTTAGTATCATGTCTTTCCCGTATTAGAATTTTCCTAAATACTATATAAATGTGTATTTATTCATGTAAGTATTTATGTATATGCATTTTCATTAGTTGTGCATGTTATGCAACTAGGTATACATAAATGTATATTATATATTTACACATTTTTTCCATTGCAAGTATTTATGTATAGGCATAGCTATATATCCATAAATGTATGCACATATATTGTATGTCAAAAAAATTAAGTCAACTTTCTTTTTCTAAAACTTGATAGTTATGTTCTTTTACACATAATAATACTAATATTGAATTCATATGAACCCTTAGTGTCTAGGAAATAAATATATTTAACAAAAGGAAGTAGAGAAATTGGACCAACTTGAGACTAACCCAAACCTAACCCGAGGCTGACTTGAACTTAACTCAATCCTAACCCAAATTAAGGTTTGGGGGATGAACGACTCAAATTGTGGTTAGGGTTGACCTCAACCTGACCTAATACAGCCAGACTTGTGCCCCTAGCTGTTGCTGATGTAATAATTCTAAT